GTGAGGCCCCACCCCCACCCCAGGCTGAGCCCCGGCTCCGCACCCCCGCCCCGTCCACCCCGTAGGGCCCGTGTTGGTGTAGCAGTGATGGCTTCTGTGGATATTCTGTGACCTCTGTCAGTGTAACTTGACAATTTCTAAATGGAAAAGGATTGCTGTGTTTTCTCTGTCTCTCTTTTTTAATGTCCTTTTTCTTCTCCTCACTTCCCTGCTCTCTTTCCTTTCCGGTTTTTAGAGCCGAGTGTTTGGGGCTTAAATAAAACTTGTTTCTTTTTCCTCTCCTGGATCTCCTTTCTATAGGCTGCTGTCTCATTATTTCTCACCTTCGCCCTGGAAGGTGTTGGGATGGATGGGGCAGAGATGGGAATCTGGCAGGTAACTGCCCTGCGGCATTGAAAGAGGAGGGGGCAGGAACAGGGACCCTTGGGGCTGCCGCCGTCCCACAGGCCCATGAGAACCCACATCATGGACACGGGAGAGGATCACCGCTGACTCGCGTCACCGCCCTCGGTGAGGTAGCCACGGGCATCTCTTACACCTGAGACCACAGAGCCAGAGACGGGAGGTGACTTGCCTGGAGTCATACCACTAGTAAGATGCAGAGTCAGAATTTGAATCCAGCTCTGCCTGCCCCCAAACCCAGTGCCTTCCCCCCCCAAACCAAGTAGGGTCTGATTACTTCCCTGTGTTGGGGCCTGGCCTCCTGCCCTTTGGGTGGGATGATCCTTCAGCATGTCAACCGTCCTTTAAATGGCAGCTTTCGGGGCGCCTGGGTGGCGCAGTCGGTTCAGCGTCCGACTTCAGCCAGGTCACGATCTCGCGGTCCGTGAGTTCGAGCCCCGCGTCAGGCTCTGGGCTGATGGCTCAGAGCCTGGAGCCTGTTTCCGATTCTGTGTCTCCCTCTCTCTATGCCCCTCCCCCGTTCATGCTCTGTCTCTCTCTGTCCCAAAAATAAATAAACGTTGAAAAAAAAAAAAATTTAAATGGCAGCTTTCAAACTTAAACAAAACAAAACAAAACCAACAGCAAGAAATACATTTTGCATCTTTATGATGTAGATGTGTACACACGCATTCAATGAAACAGCACTTACTGTATACAACGCACTCTGCTATTTCCTGTTAAATCCTAAACGTTTTGGTCACAAACCACGGAATCGACTTCATGACTCGCTAATGGGTCAAGACCCACAGTTCGAAAAACAACTTGTCTGAAGATCTAGTCTCAGTCCCAATCACGGTGCATTTCTGCTTTCTCCTTCTCAAAGGCCTGCTGACCCCACTTAACCCCGTGGTGTCGTCTGAGACTGGTGTCGTCAAGACCCCTGAGAGGAGATTTACCCTCGATTCTGGCTGGATGGGGGTCCTGGGCCCTGACCCTGTAGCCAGCAAGTTGCCTGAACCTTCCAGGTTAACCACATCAGAGTCCCACCTGTCCCGCCAGTGAGTGGGCCAGATGTCCTGATAGGGTTTTCCAGGTTTTCCTGGAATTCTGAAGGCTGTGCCATGGTTCCAGCATGTGCTAAGGGGTCCTTGAGGCTGTCCTTCTAGGCACTCTCTTGTTTGACTGAGGCCTGGGGTATTACTGTGTGTCCTATACCTCCCTGACGCTCGTCGGGCTTTCTATCCCCTGAGCTGATGACAGTGTCCTGGAACAACACTCTCCCAGGCCTCGCTGGACCCCAGTCTTCTCCTAAAGGCCAATAACGTCTTTGGAGACAGAAGTTGAGGCTGGCTCACTGTCTGGACTCCATGGGTCACCCCCCGGCTGAGCGGCCCTTCAGACCCTCCGATGGCCAGACCTCATCCCTTATGTCCTTCTTAAAGCGTCAGCAGGTCTTGCCTTCCCTCCTGCATCCTATGTCCAGAAAGCTGGGAAAGTAGCCAAAAGCCCCCCTCATCTCCGAGAATCACCCCACTCACTCACGGGTCAAGATCAAGTAACAAACAGGACCATCAACTGCACGCCAGGAATTATGCCGGGCGCCTCATCCATCCTTCAAATGCCTCCTGCATGTCTGCTTGCCGGTGCTGTTCGTCCCTTCCTCACTGGGACTGGGGTGCAGCATTTAGGAGGGGAGCCCGCCAAAATACACGAATGCAGATACCGAGCAGAATCGTGACAGATGGTGAGTAGTGCCATAGGCAAACAGGTTGTGACAGTGAGGGGGACCACGCAGACAGGGTGACCAGCTCTGAGGTCACATTCGAGTGGCGACCTTAAGAATGACGACTGGTGGGGTGCCTGGGCGGCTCAGTCAGTTGAGCGTCCGACTCCTGGTTTTGGTTCGGGTCATGATCTCACAGTTTGTGAGTTCAAGCCCTACACTGGGCTCTGCGCGGACCGCATGGAGCCGGCTTGAGATTTCTCTTGCGCGCTCGCTCTCAGCCCCTCCCCAGCTTTCTCTCTCTCTCTCTCTCCCTTGAAAAATAAATATATAAACATAATAATTTAAAAAGTGATGCCTGGGTATGTGGCAGCTGGTGGTGAAGTGCCCCAGGGAGAAGGCCCTGAGGTAGGAAGTAATCTGTGGGTCGGAACATGGATGGAACCCTAAGTAGAGTGAGGAGGGGAAAGGGTGCACGCCATGAGGTCAGAGCGGTGGGCAGAAACCCCGTCATAGGAGCCGCATCCTGTGGGACGTGCTAACGAAGGTGGGTTTCATCTCAGAGCCACGGAAACCGATCAGACGCTTTTAAGTAAGACATTGACATGACCTGACCCTATTTCAGAAGTTACCTCTGGCTGCGATGCCAAGAAAAGATGGTGGGCGAGGGGCAGGGGTAAGTGCAGAGCCATCTGGCCGTGCAGGTGAAGCCAGCCTGGACTCAAGCTAACAAATCTCTGGCTGTGGGAAGGGAAACTGAGTATCAGCGCCTTTGTAGCTATGAAATGTACCTATGAGCTTGTTTTTTGTTTGGTTGGGTTTTTTTTTTTTTTAATGTTTATTTATTTTTGAGAGAGAGAGAGAGCACAAGTGGGGGAGAGAGAGAGAGAATCTGAAACAGGCTCCAGTCTCTGAGTTGTCAGCACAGAGCCCAACGTGGGGCTCGAACTTGGGAATGGTGAGATCATGACCTGAGCTGAAGTTGGACACCTAACTGAGCCACCCAGGAGCCCCAGGTTGGGTTTTTTTGTTGCTTAGATTTCACATATAAGTGCACTTGTATGGTATTTGTCTAATGCCCTCAAGATCCATCCATTTGTTGCAAATGGCAAGGTTTCATTCTTTTTTATGGCCGAATAATATTCCATTGTGTGTATAAATTTTTTTTTCAACGTTTATTTATTTTTGAGACAGAGAGAGACAGAGCATGAACAGGGGAGGGGCAGAGAGAGAGGGAGACACAGAATCTGAAACAGGCTGCGGGCTCTGAGCAGTCAGCACAGAGCCCGACGTGGGGCTCGACCTCACAATCCACGAGATCATGACCTGAGCCGAAGTCAGGTACTTAACCAACTGAGCCATCCAGGCGCCCCTTCCGTTGTGTGTATAATACCACATCTTTATCCATTCCTCCATGAACCCTTAAGTTGTTTCCATGAACAGGGGGTGTATTTCTTTGAGTTAATGTTTTCCTTTCCTTGGGACAAATACCCAGAAGTGGGACTTCTAGTTCTAATTTTTTGAGAAACCTCATACTGTTTTCCATAGTGGCTGCACCAATTTACATTCCCGCCAAGACTTCCGTTTCTTTTTTTTTTTTTTTTTAATTTTTTTTTTTCAACGTTTATTTATTTTTGGGACAGAGAGAGACAGAGCATGAACGGCGGAGGAGCAGAGAGAGAGGGAGACACAGAATCGGAAACAGGCTCCAGGCTCTGAGCCATCAGCCCAGAGCCTGATGCGGGGCTCGAACTCACGGACTGCGAGATTGTGACCTGGCTGAAGTCGGACGCTTAACCGACTGCACCACCCAGGCGCCCCAAGACTTCCGTTTCTTAAAAAAAAAATCTTCCAAAATTATTCTGAGTTTAGTATTCACGTTAATTTCTAATGCTATCATATTAATAAGCGTCCTTAATTTAAATTTTAAAACATTTACTGAGACTAAATTCACACCACATACAATTAATTAACATTTTAATTTACTTTTTTTAAAGAGTGCCATTTAACAAACTTTTAATGTTTATTTTTTTTGAGAGAGGAGGGGGAGGGGCAGAGAGAGAATCCCAAGCAGGCTTTGCACTGTTAGCGAAGAGCCAGATACAGGGCTCGATCTCACGAACTGTGAGATCGTGACCTGAGCTAAAATCAAGAGTCGGACGCTTTAACCGACTGAGCTACCCAGGCGCCCCTAATTAACCTTTTTTGAAATGTACAATTCAGTAGTATTCAGTGTACTCACAATGTTGGGCAACCACTATCTCTCTCTGGTTCCAAAACTTCTTCCTCACACCATAAAACAACCCATACCTAAGCAACCTTGCCCCATCCCCACCCCACCCCATTCCCTAGTAACCGCTAATCTGTCCCTAGGGGGTTGTTTGCTCTCCACATATATCATACAAAAGACATCGTATAATTTGTGACCTTTTGTGTCTGGCTTCTCTCAGAATAACTTTTCAAGGCTTCCCCAAGTTGTCACACGTATCCGGACTTTGTTCCTTTTTACAGCCGAATAGTACAGTGTTGTATATACGTACAACGGTTTATCTGTTCATTCATCTATGGACATTTGGGTTGTTTCCCCCTTTTGGCTACTATGAATAATGCTGCTATAGACATTCACGTACAAGTTTCTGGGCGGACGTATGTTTTCACTTCTCTCGGGGCAATGGCATTGATGCGTCATGTGTTTCTGTGTTGAATTTTTTGAGGAACCCACCAAGCTATTTCCCGCAGCGGCTGTGTTAGTTTACATACTAACTATCGAGCTGGGTGCCTGTTTCTCCACATCCTCACCAACACTTGTTGTTTTCTGCTTTCTTCTATTTTTTTTTCTGTTTGTTTTTGAGAGAGAGAGAGCACGAACGGGGAAGGGGCAGAGAGCAAGGGGGAAAGAGGCTCTGGAGTGGACTCTGAGCTGTCAGCAAAGAGCCCAGTGGGGAGCTCAAACTCACGAACCATGAGCTCATGATCTGAGCCCAAGTCAGACACTGAACCGACTAAGCCACACAGGCGCCCCTCTAGTTTCTTGATTTAAGCCATCCTAGTGGGTGTGAGGTGGTATCTCACTGTGGTTATAATTTGCATTTCCTTAACGAGCAACGAAACTAGAAAAATACAGAAAATTAATTTAAAATGATAAAAATTAATAAAACCAAGAGTTGAATTGACAGAGACTTTGCTCTCTCTCCCTCTTTTTTTTTTCCCTTAGTCAGTTTGGCTAAATATTTGTCAATTTTTTTTTTTGACCTTTTCCAGGAACCCGCTTGTAGTCTTATTGATTTTCTCCATTTTTTTTTCTATTTTTGATTTCATTTATTTCCACTCTTATCTTTATTATGTCCTTCCTTTGGCTTGCTTTAGGTTTAGTTTGCTTTTCTCTTTCTAGTTTCTTTTTATTTTTTATTTTGAAAGAGAGAGAGAGAAAGTGGGGGAGAGGGGCAGAGGGAGAGGGAGAGAGAATCCTAAGCAGGCTCCATACTCGGTGCAGAGCCTGACTCAGGGCTCGATCCCACGACCCGGGGATCATGACCTGAGCCAAAATCAAGAGTTGGATGTTCAACGGACTGAGCCACCCAGGCACCCCTCTTTCTAGTTTCCTAAGGTGAAAGTTTAGGTTATCGATTTGAAATCTTTCTTCTTTTCTAATACACACATTTACACCTACAAATTTCCCTCGAAGTGCTGCTTGAGTTGCATCCCATAAACTTACACATGTTCTGTTTTTGCTTTCATTCATCTTAAGGTATTTCTAATTTCGCCTCAGATTTCTCCTTCGACCCACTGAGTTAGGAGTGAACTTTTTTATTTCCACCTATTTGTGAACTTCCCAACAGTCCTTCTGTTATATTAATTTCTAATTTAACTCCACTGTGGTTGGAGAGCAAACTTCACGTGATTTCAATCCTCTTAAATTTCTCGAGGCTTGTTTTACACCCTAGCATATGGTCTATCCTGGAGAATGTTCCATGTGCCCTTGAGAAAAAGTGTGTATCCTGCTGTTGTTGGGTGGAATCTTCTTTAGATATATCTGTTAGGTCTAATTGGTTTGCAGTGTCCGATATATTTTTTTTTTAATTTTTTTTTAACGTTTATTTATTTTTGAGACAGAGAGAGACAGAGCATGAATGGGGGAGGGTCAGAGAGAGAGGGAGACACAGAATCGGAAACAGGCTCCAGGCTCTGAGCCATCAGCCCAGAGCCCGACGCGGGGCTCGAACTCACGGACTGTGAGATCGTGACCTGGCTGAAGTCGGACGCTTACCCGACTGCGCCACCCAGGCGCCCCGCAAAGCAATTTTTTTTTAAACGTTTATTTATTTTTGAGACAGAGAGA